GCTCTTGTGGCAGGACTGTAGAGTGTCAGTCTGCTAACGTCTGTGCCGTGTGGCCTACGAGAGATTAGGAGTCTGTGTGTTTTCAAGGGCTGCACTCCACTCCAGTCAAAAGAAGGAAGATTAATGGACATTACAAAGACTGATACACGAAAGTGTCACACTGTGTGTGGGGAAGGTTTTATGTCCTCTGTTTATATACCATATAGTTTTATCATGAAACATTTTCTCAATATATTGCAAAGAAAGATTTTTCTTCATTATAGATCTTACAGTTTTCACTTCTGAGTGTACACACACACACACACACACACACACACACACACACACACACACTCATGCCTCCCCACAATGTAACTGGTTTATTTATTGCTAATTCATACTTGGTCCTAGTCTTTTGAAACCAAGGCACAGAGCCCTTAACAGACATGGCCAAAGTCAGTTAAGCAATGCAAAGCAGAACTAGGATCTCTGACAATCTGGGTTTATAGTCCATGCTCTTAGGCATTACGCTCCATCATGAGGTAAAGCACAGATCACAGAGGTAGCGCTCACCTTGCTTGATCCAGTCATGTACTTACTTTCCCTGTAGCCAAGCAGATGCCATAGAAAAGCTGGCTTCACTTTGAAGTCATGACTCCAGTCCTTGAATCAGGACTCACACTGCTGGTCAGTTCTACTGCCCAGTCATGTTTACTTTACAAATTATTATTTCAATTTCTTCTCCCCACAAACATTTTGTAACTTGCCTGTCTCTCCAGACACTCATAATTCATAGAGAAAATAAAGGAAGTCAGATGGAATCTCCCGATTTTTTCCATCTCTAGCACCCTGCAGAGATCTCTCTGCTCTGCTTTGTCTGTACAATTGGTGGGTGTTGCTTAGCAACTTGCCCAGGGCAGTGTTCCAGAAGGCCTCTTGGGTCTTTTGCTTTTCCCCTCCTACTCCACATGATTTTGCTTCTGAAACAAACTACTTACCATGTATCATCAGCTCCTGTCCTTTCGATTTCAATCCTTACCACCAGCACAGGAAGTTCCTGTAATTTCTGACCCCTCCTCCACTGCTCCTTTAGAGGAAACCTGAAAACATTGTCTGGAGCCATCAACTCCTCTTCACCTCTTAGCTGATCTTCAACCAATTCCTTGGCATTTTATCTCCATCTCCTCGTTTCTCCAACGATTTCTACGTTACCAGGCTTAGTGGTGACTTCTCTGTGCGTTTGACATGTTCACCTGTTGACTCTTCCTCCTCCTTAAAATGCTTTGCTTTCTTTTCTTGGCTTCCAACACCAGATCATAGCCATCGCTGTTATTTTGTGGTGCCGGGTGTTGAACCCAGGGCGCCTCATGCATGCTAGGCATGCACTCTACCACCAACCTGTGTTGCCTGCCACCTCTTCTTGGCTTCCAGGATGTCTCTCTCTCTCTCTCTCTCTCACACACACACACACACACACACACACACACACACACACACAGTGGAGGAGTGTCAGGGAGGCAGTGGTGAATGGATACGAACAGAATGTGTTATAGGAGTGCATGAAGTTTTAAAGAATAAACTTAAAATTTTAAAAAAGAAATCCTGGAATGTTGGGTTCTCGGTGTGTGAGTAAACTGGTCTCCTCGTGTACCTGCACACATGGGGCGTGCATTCTTGTAGACACCCACACATATACATATAAATGATATAAATCACAATAACAACTTCAGAAAATAAAACGAATCAAAAATTCAATAGAATAATTTATCAGAAACTAAACACAATGAGAATTAAAAGCTAGTAGCAACTCCTCCTAAAACCATTTCAAACAGAGGGGAAAGACTTTAATAGATTATTCTCCAAAGAAAAAGATACAAATGTCCAAGGACCACATGAAAAGGCATTCCACACCACCAGTCAAAGGCCATAATAGGTTGCCTCCCACCCCATCTCCCTTCCAATGCCATGTCCTTTTAAAACAAATATTGTTATTAATAACCCCCTAAATCCATCTAGGGCTGCCTATATCCACATGGATATGTATCAGCAGCCTTTGGGAGAGTCTGCTCCAAGAACACACCCAGGGCATGCAAAAAATCCATGAGTATGGCGAGGGCTAGACTTTTTCTATCTGAGGGGTATTAGGAAGAACACTCACACGTTCTGATGGTAACTTTCTTTATTACTGCATATTGAAAAAATCCATCTCCACACAGTTGCATATCTCTCCACACTGTTACATCTGTCTTCTACACAGACACATGTCTCTACATACAGTTACATCTCTTTCCTACATAGCTCCATATCTCTTTTCTACACACATCTCTCTTCTACACATCTCTCTCCTACATATCTCTTCTTACACTCATCTTCACACAGCTACTGCTCCATCTCTCTACTCTCTCCTACATAGCTACTCATCTTCTACACAGCTCTCTCTGCATGCACCACCTTCTACATACAGCTCTACACAGTTCTCTCTACATAGCTCTTTCTACTCGTACTTCCTTCAACAGCCAAACTGTGCACGGTTACGAGTTACATTTTCAGGATCCAACCCACTCTAATAATACATGATGAGTCACACAGTTTCTCTCAGGCTAGGGAGGTCGAGCTGACTGGGCATGGTGAGTAAAGTAAGCAGGTAGCTCTAAGTGGTCAGGGTTCCCAGACAGTGAGTGACATTGAAATTCAGAACTTAAGCAATAAACAGTTAGTTGGCTGAAACTTGAGTCTTGTAACATAAACTGAGGTTGGGATTATGTACAGAGAGTCAATTGCTGAGAGAATTATGTCTACTATAGTTGCTTTGTGCCTGACTTTGATTCAACAAACAGACACTTGGGAATTTGTCCTTGTACAATTTGTCTCCAGGGGCAACTAGTGTATTTTGGATTTCCTCTGAAGTCTAAAATCAGCTAAGTGTGTAAAAAAACTGTCTTTGTAGCTGAGAATACTGTTATTTTCCTATGTCAGTCTGAGTTAAGAAAAATATCCTAGTATTATTTCTATTCATCCAACTTATACAGGTTAAGTACAAATCATCTTCCTGACCATCCATAGCTCTATGTGTGCCCAGTAGGTGGAATATATCCATGAGACAAACACACAAACAGTGGGGGAAATACCCATAGCTGTTTTTAGGGAAGAAATATAGTGGCACAAGAGAAAATTACAGGCAGAAGCAACCAGTTTTTAGAGTCTATGGTCCTGCAAGCCTTGCTTAACAAGATTCCTCCATCAGAGAGTTATTCATCTGGTATGTTGACACCTGAATTATTAATTGCCACCCGTTGTATATTCTTAATGGCCACTGGCAGGTATGGGCAACCTACCACCAACCAAGTCCACAAAGGAGAGTCAGTCTCCTTTCCTTAGCAGCCAGAAATTCCCAGTATCTCCTCTGCCAAAGGTGAGGCCTTGGGGACCCACCCTCCATCCATGTTGGAATTTTGACTGGCTTGGTTTCATGCAGGTTGTATTTAGATAGCCTAACCACAGTTGCTGTGAACTGATGTCACGTCCAGAAGTCAGCATTTCACAGTTCTCCTTCCTATCTACTAGCTGTTACATTCTGTCCCCTCTTCCTCAATGTTCCCTGAGCCCTGGATGGAGAGGAGGTTGATATAGTTGAGTGAGCTCAACACACTTAATTACTTGAGCACGTTGACTGCCATTGCAAAAACAGGCTTCTCTGAGCAAAGTAGAAGGGAGTTCAAATCTCTGGGTATAAACAAATATCTACAAAGCAGTTTTGACAACTTGACCATGTAGCAAATTAACTGCAGCCTCCCTCTCCCCACTCCCCCCCCCCCCATCCCTATCATCTCCCTAGCAATGGCACTCTAGGATTTCAACAGAGTCCGGTGGAAAGTATAGTTATAATGTCCCCTTCTCTTTGGAATATGCCCAAGAAACTGTAGGTAGATCTGTTCAGGTTCTTTGCCTCTGATCTCCCACTTGAACTGCTTCAGGCAGAAAAACAGTACTGCATGCCTGGCTTAGTCCTGATTCTCCCTGTGTTTGGCCTTGCAACTTGGGTGGCTCCCAAATGCTTTCAAACACAGGTTGTGTTACTTTTTTCTGGTTATCCCCAGTGGGTAAGGTTAGCCAAAACAATCCAGTCTGCCACTGGCCAGAGCGAAAACTTAGTTTCCTGATTTTTCAGGTGGATAATTTTGTTATGTTTTTGTTGTTGTTGTTGTTGTTATTTACTCATTTATTTTGTACATAGATGTCCAGGGCAATTAAGGGTCCCATCCATATAGAGAAAGAAAGCAACTTAGAACTATGTGATTGCTACAAATTCTTACTAGTCTTCCTTTTGTGTAGTGAGATGTATTTTTCCCCTAACTTGCCTTTCCTGGAAAACTAATAGTATTTAAAGTTACCCCCAAACTGAAAAGTAATTGTGAAAACAATGATCTACAAAGTCTATTGTTGTTAAATACTTGTGTATGCAGAATACCACTTCAAGTCATAGAATACAGTTCATTTGATACTCAGAGGTGAAGTCTCTCTTGAACTGACTTCTGAGTAGAAACTCATCATCATCATAATTACTTAATTGCATATTAATGGGCAATGGAGACACAGAAATAATATCTACCTTTAACTATCGAAATCATGTAGCAGAGGATGTTTTAAAGCATTGTTTTGTGTTTTAAATTTGAAGTGACCTAAAACCCCTCAGGGAATCAGGTGTGTATTATGTTCACAAACCAGCTTCTGCACTTTCTCTCTTCCAGGGCAACTATGATTCTGGTTTTCTGTATCACTGTCAGTTCCCCCCCTTTTTCAGTGACAGTGATTTCCAAAACCAGGCAGATGAACCATTCGATTTCCGCTTTCTTGAGGATACAGAGGACAACCCCATCCAAACATTCGCTTTCAGGTGAAGAGAACTTAAAAAAAAAAAAAGGATTTTAGTGTCTGTCTTTGTGTATTCTGGATGCCTTGGTTTCTTTTCCTGTTGCTGGAATAGAACACTCAGACAAAACATCTCAAGAGAGAAAGGGTTTATTGGAGCTCATATCCCCGGTCCAGTCCATCATGGTCGGGGCGGCAAGGCAGCAGGATCACATTATGTCTGAAGTCAGAAGGAGAGAGCCATGGATACAAACAACTGTTCAGCCTACTTTCTTCATTTTATACACTCCAGAAATCCCTGCTCTAGGAATGGTCCCACCCACAATTAAGCTGAGTTTTCCCCTTATCCATGAAAATAATTGAGATAATCCCTTACAGGTATTCCCTGAAGGCCATCTTCCTGGAGATATTAGATCCTTTCAGGTGGACAACAGTAACCATTATAAACGGAATTGTCACTTTTTAAAGATCTATTTACGTAAAGGGAAACACACATGGTACCTGGTTAAATTAATCAAATGGGCAAATAGAATTAAAGGTAGGCCTAGGCTTGAAATAGTTTTTAAACCCTGTGGGTTTTGTACTGGGTGTTGTATCCCAGTTTCTGTTTATCACACTGATCTCTTTTCATTTACGTAGAAAGACGTGATTGCATGGTAAACTAACAAAGGGCCAGGCTCCCAGTGATTCTGAAGCAATGGTAAATTGAACTGCTCTCCATTTAATAACTGAGAACTGAGCACAAATGCCAGCCATTGTTCTGAGGCCTGGGGACTAGCTCCAATGTTAAAGCAGCTCTCCCTTCCTAACTTTTTGTGTTAGTTCACTACAGCTGCTGTGACAAAAACACCCCGTAATGTGTGACTTAGACAGCGCAGACTTAGATTCTCACGGTCTGGAGAATAGAGTTCCAAGTTGAAGGTGTCGACAAATGCGCTTTCTCATGAAATCAGTCTGTGGCTTTCTCATCTCTGCCTTGTTGGTGTGCCTTTCCCGTGGCCTTTCCCATGTGCAAGGCATCTCTAGTGTCACTCTGTGACATCGTTCCCAAGGACACCAGCCAGACTGGATTAGGATTTATCCTTATGCTCTCATTTTAGTTTAGTTACCTCTTTAGAAGTCCTTAACTTGCAATATAGTTACACTTTGGAGCACTGGATCTAAGACTTAAGTGTGTGCATTTTGGTGGTACACAACTTAGCTCTTAACGCCATTTGCTATTTAAACTTTTTTTTTTTTTTTTTTTTTTTTTTTTTTTTTTTTTTTTTTTTTTTTTTTTGGTTTTTCGAGACAGGGTTTCTCTGTGTAGCTTTGCGCCTTTCCTGGAACTCACTTGGTAGCCCAGGCTGGCCTCGAACTCACAGAGATCCGCCTGCCTCTGCCTCCCGAGTGCTGGGATTAAAGGCGTGCGCCACCACCGCCCGGCTAGCTATTTAAACTTAAACATTATTTCACTGAGGGTATGGCTCAGTGGGTAAAGGTCCCAGCATCCAAGCTTGATGACCAGAATTCAATCCCCAGGACCCACCTTTGTAAAGAGAAAACCAACTCCCACTAGTTGACCTATGATCTTCACAAACCAACCAACTAAATATGCTGTGTCCTGCCTGGCTTGGGTCTTAGAACCCCAGCAGGGGATGATGATGAGGGAGTGAAGAAAGGACAGACACATAGATACACATACAGTGAGGACGGGATCGGTGGGATTCTCTAATGCTACCACTACCCAGCCAACTTGGGATGTCAGCATGTTTGCTAGGTGTAACACAGGAAGAGGGCTCAGATCACCTTGGTAGGAGGTCTCTCTTGGCCAGCAGTCTCCAGCTGTAAACACCTGGGGGAGGAAACCACAGTACTAGCTTTTGTACACACTGATTAGCCTTTCATATATACTCCTCCTCACTCCCTAAGGAAAGCTTGGCCATTTACCTTGAGCCTGGCCGGTGTGGATAAGGGCTTTGCCACTTTCCCATGGGTCAATTGGCCTTGCAGTCCTCACCAGGATGATGGCCATGTCAAGATACTCATCCTCTCAGAATGCTCGTTCAGGGTTTCCTCAGCTCCCTACATGAATAGGGGGAAAAAATGAAAGGTTATATTCCAGCTTCTGAGAATAATGCTTGACTCTTTTTGTCTCGTAGTTCTAACCAGACTATGATGTTCTGTGGAATGAGAAATGGAGGAATTCGGGTGTATATCTTAAGTGAGAATGACCCCTCACTGACTAGTCTGAAGGACTACTGGCATTTCAATGTGCACGACAACAATTATGGATGTGTAAAAGGCGTCTCTGCTAGTTTTGACGACCAGTACTTGGTGACTGCTGGGGCAGATGGCAATATCTTTGTCTTCAGCGTGACGTCTATAGTTGTGGCCGAGAAAGAAGCCAAAGCCAAAGTGCCATCCCCCAGGGTGCGTAACAATTAGCCAATCAATTAACTAATAATGATAGCTGACTTTAAAAGAAAGTCTTCAAGTATTGAGAGTAATTTAGACATGTTAACCTTATAATATAATCCATAATATCTGTAACCAATACCTTATAATCTAGTATTACTGCACTGTTATAATTCTGACTTTCTGTATCAAATATTAGTGGCACTGAATTCTTACTATTTATTAAAGTTATACAGCTCCCACTGCATCAGATTTTCTTTATCAATCACTGTATTAGCCAACATTTCTTTCTTTTCTTTTTTCTCTCTTCAAAATGGGCAATATTTTTCAGGTCTGTATTTTCTTTTTTCGTTATTTACTTCTTAATACACTCTGATAGACTTCTAAAAATTTCAATAGTGCCTTCAACTTTCTTTAACATATTAATCAGAGTTGTTCTGAAGTATATTTTGAACACTTTCCTATTGATATCTCTTGTCATTCTGTTTTATTGGTCTGTCTTCATATTTTTTTTCAATTAAATCTTATTCTTCTGGTACACCTAGTTTTTTTTTTTTTTTTATTGAGCCCTAGACATTTATGTGAAAAACTCAGGAGTTACCTTGATTCTTGGCATGTTACTAGTACCTCCTAAAGATTTAGCGTTGCTTCTAGAAAGCAGGTAGCAAGCCTACACCACTCTAGTCCAGTCAGTAGTGAGGTGTGATTTGCAATCAGGTTCTCCTTTCTGAGAAGGCCATTTTATTTCCACTTTACTCACATGCCTAGAACATTTCATTTCAGGATTTCTTTTTTAAAAATTTAAGTTATTCTTTGAAAACTTCATGCACCTCTATAATGTATTCTATTCATATCCGCTCACTACTACCTCCCTGAAACTCCTCCATTGTCCTCCACCCCACTTTACTTCCAATGTTATGTCCCCTTTAAACAAAAATTGTTATTAATAAACCCCTAAATCCATCCAGTGCTGCCGATATTCACATAGATGTGGAATCATCCACCAGGGTAGGGGCAACCTACCACCAACCGAGTCCACCAAGGGGAGTCAGTCTCCCTCCGTCAGCAGCCAGACATGTCCAGTAGCTCCTCTGCCAAGGATGAGGCCTTGGGGGCCCTTCCTCCATCCATGATGACATTTTGACTGGCTTGGCCTTGTGCAGGTAGGTTTTGTGTAGGTGACCTAACCATAGATGTTGCAAATTGTCTTTCCTATTCCTGCAGTTTGGGATTGAATCAGAGCCCATTCCAGAAGACATTGAAGATCCCAAAGCCTACAGGTATGAAACATTTTAATAACTATTGATCAGGCCCAGGATTTTACCAAACTGCCTGAGACAAATGCATTTCCAAGTTATCCAATACAATTTGTCTCTTATGTCATTTCTGTGGAGAAATGATTGTCGTTTTACATTTCTGCTTTCAGTATTGAGAATGCCAGGAGGAAAAGAGAATATGACAAGCTAATGAAGGAAGTAGAAGAAATAAAAGCTGGGAAGAGAGAGCAAATCAAAGCTTTGAGGAATCAATTTTGGAAACTGTTAGCCATGAATAAAGAACTACCAGCGCATATGCAGTTTCAACGGACAGTGAGTGTGAACGACTGGCTGTTATTTTAACATGTTCATCCTAGATTAGGATTACTATTTTGTCAGCAACAATGAATGCAGAGAAATCATTTTCCCAGTTAGTTCCCGTTGTCAACTTAACACAGCCTAGAGTCATCTGAGGGAGTTTCAACTGAGGGATTTCCCAGATCAGATTGGCCTGTGCTACACCAGTGGGGGCATCGTCTTAATGTAGATTAGTGTAAGGACCCAGTCCACTGTGGGCACGAATCGCCATCCCTAAGCAGGTGTCTTAGGATACCTAAGAAAGCTGGCTGAGTGTGAGGCAGAGAGCCAGCAGTAATCAACATTCCTCTATGATTCCTGCTTTGCTTCCTGCTTGGGTTCCTGTCCTGACTTCTGCCATTAATCAACTGTGACCTGGAAGTGTAAGCCAAATAATTCTGTTCCTCCCCCAAGTTGCTTTTGGTTGTGGTGTTTTTCAAAGAGACAGAAAAGGAATTAGGACGTGGTTATTAAATCTTCTTTTACCTGGCCAGTCAATGTATTTGCACCACCTCATGGGCTGTACAAGTTGGGATGGAAGCCAGTGAACCTATGCAACACAAAGTTGACTGCTGGATTTGGCTACCTCTATGACATTCTTTTTCTGTATTCAGTAAGACGATAAAATAAAAACACAGTTTGGGATCTAGCTTATATGTTGGGAAGGTACAGGTAGAGTTTGATTCTGCCATTTCACTTTTAATATTTTAATACTAGCTCTATGGGTTGAGTCACAAAACTTCTAAAAGATGACAGTATAGCTGTGGCTATGAGGGCAATGACAGAAGTGTTTATGCCAATTTTATATTCTTTATTTCTTTTGTGACTTTACTCTAAAACTCAATATACCTGCTAATCATTGGGCTACATATTTTTTTCATTCTTCAAAAGTTTTATGTGCATGTCTAGTGTCCATGGAAGCCCAAAAGAGGGTTTCAGTTCCCTGGAACTAGAGTTAGAGATGGTTGTGAGTCAAGATGTGGATGCTGGGAACCAAACCCAGGTCCTCTGCAAGAGCAGCAAGTGCTCTTACCCACTGAGCAATCCCTCCAGCCTCTTTATTTCATTTTCAACTATATCCTAAACAGAGTTGTAGTTCAGAGTCTAATCCAGGGCCTAAAGAGATAGATTAGCCAATATGAGAACTTGAATTCCATCCCCGCTATTCTCATAAACAGGTGTGGTGGAGGATGCTTATAATACCAGCCCTTGGTAGACCGAGACTGACATACTTGAAGCTTGCTGGTTACTCAGCCTATCCTCACTGGCAAGCTCCGGGTCCCAGTGAGAGACTGTCTCAAGAAACAAAGAGGATGACTTTCGCGGAATCACACCTGGCTTCCACAGGCACACATAGGCGTGTATACACCACACACACACACACACACACACACACAATGTAATTTAAAAACAAAATAAGAACCTTTTGATAAGCAAATCAACTTATCTACAGGATTTCAACATTGATGCCATAATTCATGCGGAAATCAATAAGAAAACAATTTTCAAAATTCAGCAAGTGGAAAAGGAGTTAGCTTGGGAAAAACAGAAATATGAACTCGGCCTGAAGAAGCTCCAGAGCAGGTACATCTTCCCTGCAAGTTAAGATGTTTGAAAGCACACTTTTGAGTTGTGTGTTGTGATGCCTGCACAGAGCGCAGGTGAACCATCTCAAGAAGCGCCCAGTGAGCGAGTCCACACCTCAAGCAGCCCTCCTGTGCTTGCTGGGTCGTCCTGTGCTGTCTGCTCACTCCTAGTTTATGTTGGGGATTTGGGTGAAAATTATATTGTTAAAATTTATGTAAGGACTATTTAGTTTCTATTTTGACAAAGTATTTGCTTTATGCCAAATTAAAAGATGAACATGAAGGCATACATACATTTAAAATAAAAAAAAAAAAAACCAAACATGATTAGAAGACTTAGAGGGAAAGATAGCAATCTCCTGAGCAATCACCTCTGCACATGTCAGTTCAGCTTCCCAGAAGAAACAGATGTTTTTGCTCCTTATTGAGTTTTGATTTATAGACAGCAAAGTGCATACACCTTAATTGAACAGCTTAATACTTTCTTTAACATACACTAGTACATATATCTATGATTCCCATTAAGGTAGAGAACATTTATCTCACTCCAGGTCCCTCATGGCTCCTTCCAGCTAATACCTTTTCTCAGATAAGGAATCTTTATTGCCACACACATTGCCACATTATCTGTGAACTTCATATAAATACAGTGCTAAGTCTGATTTTTTTTGCATCTAGCTTCCCTCATGCGATTATGTCTAAGATTATCTATAATGTTCATGGAGCTGTCTTTCTTCTTCTTACAGATTTATTTATTTTTTCTTATTCTTATAGATTAAGTGTGTGTGTGTGTGTGTGTGTGTGTGTGTGTGTGTGTGTGTGTATGTGTGTGTGTGTGCATGCGCGCATGGAGACCAGGTGAGGGCATTGGATCCCATGCCTGGGATCCAATGAGAGTTTGTGAGCTGCCTACTGTGGGTGCTGAGACCTCAGCTCCAGTTCTCTGCAAAGGTAGCAAATATTTTTAGACACTGAGTCATCTTTCCAGCCTCAAAATTCAGCCATTCTTTTGGTAGGCATTTGAGAACTACCCTTATATTCAGCTCCCCAGAGTCTGCTTACTTCATAGCGACTGTGTACAAACAAATCTCATTAGCACGTGTGTATGAGCACACACACCATAGAATTTAAGAAAACAAAGTGTATCTTAAATATCTCAATGAAGTAAAAATTTCACACATCTTTGGTAAATAAATGTTAGTGAATCCCTTACTAGCACACAGATATTTACATTTTTATACAATTTATATGTTCTTATCCAATTAATTCCTACACAGTGCATATACATTGTTATCTAGAATGCATAGGGCAGTATATATTCAGTTTGTTAGGATCTGCTTTCCAGAAAGCTGGAATCTACCTACAAAATTTTATTTACCACATATTAGCAAAATTTTATGTTGTATTAGTAATGGAATGTTTAGTACTTTCACCAGAAGTATTTTTTTTAATTATTATTTTTTAATCA